CAGGGATGGATGGACACACGGATACAGGTCCATGGGCACAGGGATGGACACAGGAATGTCAGATCCGTGGGCACAGGAGCGTGGCTGCACGGACACCTGGGTGCATTGTGCACGAGGATGCACAGACAAGGACACACGGACACACGGATACAGAGACACAGGGATGTACGGACACATGGATCTGCTGGTGCAAGGACAGACGGACGCACGGATACTCAGCTAGATGGATGCACAGGTTACACGGATCCAGGCACATATGGATGCACAGACACAGATGTTCAGTCACAGGTGCACGTGGACACGGGGATGCACTGATACATGGAGACACAGGTGCAGGCATGCATGGATGCACAGGTGCATGGATGCACTGCTGCCAGGACACACGGACACGTGGGCACGTGGATGCACAGGCACTGGGATGCATGGACAGTCAGACATGGCGGTGCACAGACACAGCGGTGGGTGCTCCAAGCCAAGGGGATGCACAGACATACAGGTGCCAGGGACAGACGGACACATGGATGTATGGATGTGGAGGTACAGGGACAGATGGACACACAGACACATGGACATGGACACACGGAGCTGCAGCAGCTCCAGGCACACAGCCCCGTGTCCAAAGCCGTGGGGCACAAGGCCAGACTTGGCCCTTCCCACTGCTCCCACTCTGGACTGGGCCAGCCACTCCCAGGGACACACCTTGACCTTGCTGGGCACCCACTGCCCCTGCCTGGACTACTGAGCCCCGTGTGCCCACTGTGCCATGGGCAGCACCCCTGCCTGGGGAAACTGAGGCAGGGTGTTGGAGAGGGTCCTGGGGAGTGGGACCTCAGCCTTGGGGACAATAAATACCCTGAGCAAGGGGGCTCCTGTCACCTGTGATGTGGCCAAACCCTGACCCTGATGTCCCCCAAGGGCTGGGGTGATGCACAGCTGTTTTGGGTGGCCTTGGGGACCTCTCCCATCCCGGGGAACCCTTCCCTGTGTGGGGGACCCCATCCACCCGGGGGACCCTCCCTAGCGAGGACCCTTCTGTCCCTGGGGACCCATCTCTGCCATGGGGGGACCCACCCTGCTATGGGGACCTATTCCTGCCACAAGGGTCCCCACCCACTTCGGGGACCCTCCCATCCACGGAGAACCCTCCCGGACCCCTCTGGCACAGCCCTGACGGAGTTTCTGCCCGCTTTCCCCCGAACTCACCCATTTTCTTCAGGGCTCTCCCGGGCCGGCGGGAGCCACCGGCAGCGTCTGTCGGGGCACGGAGCTGTTCGGCGGCGGGACGCGCCTTCCTGCCGCAGATCATGACTCGGGACCCCCGCTACCGCCGGTACTCCCGGTGTTCCCGGTGTTCCCGGTGTTCCCGGGACTCCGGTGCTGGTGGCGCTCCAGCTGCCCCCGGTGCCCCGGGCAGTTCTGCTGCTCCCGGTACTCCCGGTGCCCCCGGCCGGTGTAACCGGGCTGGGCGGTGGCGGAGGTCGGGGCTGGGGCTGGACTGGGGCTGGGCGGCCGAGCCGTGACCGGGGCCGGCCGCGGGGAGGGACCGGGAGGAGCCACATCGCAGCCGGCCGCTGTTAACCATTTGTGCCGGCCCGGGGCGAGCGGGGCTGCCCGGGACGGGACCGCACCGGATCCGGCCCACACGGGGCTCCTTCTGCACCGGGGCTACCTCAGCACCGGGAACGGGCCGGGGTCCCGCCGTGCCCCCGGGGGTTCGTTCTGTGCAGTGGGTCCCGCTCTGTCCGAAGGGCCGGCCTGACCCGGGACACACCGGGAGTCCCCGGTGCTCCCCGCGGGTCCGCCTGCACCGGGGAGCGGCCCAAGGGACACAGCGGTCACTCTCTGTGCCCGGGGACCAGCGCCACCCCGGCAGCGCTGCTGGGGACCCAGGACACCGCCTTTGCTGTCACACCTGGGGCACCCAGAGCCCACCTGAGCCCAGCTATGGACTGGGTGGCACCGGGCCGAGGGGCAGTGCTGGGACCCCCAGGTGACTGTCCCCACTGATGGGACACCCGGGGAGGGACAGCAGCGTGAGCTGGGGAGTCCCAGAGCCCAACGGGTGGGTGTGGGTGGTGGGAAAGACCCCCAGGATCATCGAGTCCAGGCTGTGCCTGACCCTCACCTTGTCACCAGCCCAGAGCACGGAGTCCAACTGTTCTTGGGCACCTCCAGGGATGGGGACTCCACCAGATCCCTGGGCAGGCTTCCAATGCCTGACCACCCTTCCCATGGAGAAATTCCTCCTGATGTCCAACCTGAGCCTCTCCTGGCACAGTTTGAGGCCATTTCCTCTTCTCCTAGTTGCCGTTTTCCCACAGCCACCGCTGCGGTGGGTGGGGCAGGAAGGGACGGGTGACTGCAGGCTTCTCCCAAAAATCCAGGGGAACAGGGAGGCTGTCCCAGGCCTGGCTGGGCTGTGGGGACCAGGAGCTCCAGGACAGGAACAGGAGGTGACTTTCCCCAGTGCCAGGGCTGCAGGGCTGCTGCCAGCCCCTGGGTGGGACAGTTGGGCATCCAGGGGTGAGAGCAGGGCGCACTGGAGAAACATCTGGGCAACATCTGGGCACTTCGAATGATACCTGAGTATCCTGGGGTGATGTCTGGATACTTAAGGCAGCATCTGCGTACCCTGGGGGAATATTGGAACATACTGAGGGAGCACTGGGGCATCCATGGCAGCATCTGGGCATCCTGGGTGATATCTGTGTGTCCTGAGCAACATCTGGGCACCCAGAGCAACAAATGGGCACTCCTGGAATAAGCTCTGGTAATCCCAGAGCAACCTCTGTACACGCAGGAGACATCTGGGCAGCCCCTGAGCAGCCTGGGACAGTGTTTTAGTGCTGTAGTTCAAGATGTGGGCAACTCCTGCAACATCTGGACAGTCCCTGGGCTGTTTGGAGGGGATAAAGCTCTTCCTTAATACTTTGGGGTCAGGGGACACCAGAGTCACCCCAAAAATGCACTTGCAACTCACATAACTGGGCTCTGCTCCAAGTTCTTTTCCTCCCATTGAAACTGCATTCCCAGGAATTCAGCAGCAGATGCCTGGACCCGCTGGGATGACCAGGATAAACACCTCTGGCTGCAAAATCCGCAGCACCAACAAATCCCCGTGCGGTTCCTCCTCTCCCGCGGCGTTGCTATTTTCTCCCGCCCGCCAGCGGGTTGGAAAGGATCCCATGGAAAGCAGCAGCTCGCATTCCCGGCCGCTTATAGCACAGCACGTGTCCCGTGAATCAGCGCTCGGGATCCGGGGCTGGCTCTGCCGGCAGCCAGCGAGGCCCTGTCGCTGTTCCGAGCAGGAATCCTGAGTCAGAGCTTGGAAATGGCCGGAGGTTTAAAAGGCTTTGCTGCTTTTGGTTAATATGTTTATTAAATTTTTTTTTTTATTCTTTATTTCGTTTTATTTATTTGATCTTCAGTTGGCAAAGGAAATGTTTCACCTGCAGATGTGGATGAGATTTAGGGCTGGGGGATGTTGACCCGCTTGGATTTGGGATTTGGAGGTGGGATTAAGGTTGGAAAACTGGAGTGTGAGGCAAGGATGAAGCCAGCACAGGGATGCTGAAAGCTGCTCTGCATCCCAATCCCAGGATCCAGCCCTGGGCCAGATCCAGGTGGTCCCCACAGCACCCCAGAACCTCCCACCTCCCTTGTTCTGCCAGGTCACACATTGCCCACATCCCCACAGCTCCCTGCCTTCAAGGAAAGCCCCTGGAGCAGAGGGGGCTCAGAGACCCCAAATCCCGCACCTTCTTTACTACCATAATTAATTAATTTGGATAATAATTAACAGTGGGTAAAAGTATACACTGAATAAAAGAACAGTGGATGAAGTTGGATAATAATTAATTGCTCTGCCTGACCCAGCTGTCCCTTCCCCTTGCAATGGGACCCTGCTCCTGCCCAGTGGCCTGGTGACACTGTCCCAGTGCCATATTCAGATCCCCAGTGCAGTGTCCCAGTCTCCATCCCCTGGGACCTTTGGTGAGAGGCTCCATTGCATTGTCCCCATGCCTGGTGCATTGTCCTGGTGTCGCAGTGCACGGCCCCAGTGCCCCCATGCATGGCCCCAGAATCCTGGGTGAATATCCCAGACTGGTTTGGGTTGGAAGGGACCTTAAACCCACCCAGTGCCACCCCTGCCATGGCAGGGACACCTCCCACTGTCCCAGGCTGCTCCAGCCCCAATGTCCAGCCTGGCCTTGGGCACTGCCAGGGATCCAGGGGCAGCCCCAGCTGCTCTGGGCACCCTGTGCCAGTGTCCCAGAGCATCCCTGTGCACTGCCCCTTCCTGCCTGCCATGTCCTGCCTTGTCCTGCCTTGTCCTGCCTTGTCCTGCCGTGTCCTGCCTTGTCCTGCCTTGTCCTGCCTTGTCCTGCCGTGTCCTGCCGTGTCCTGCCTTGTCCTGCCGTGTCCTGCCGTGTCCTGCCGTGTCCTGCCGTGTCCTGCCGTGTCCTGCCGTGTCCTGCCTTGTCCTGCCGTGTCCTGCCGTGTCCTGCCTTGTCCTGCCGTGTCCTGCTTCCCAGCCTGGGTGGGGCTGGAAGGTCGGTGGGTGAAACCCTGTGACACACTAAGCACTGTCCCTGTGTCCCTGTGTCCCTGTGTCCCTGTGTCTGTCCCTGTGTCCCTCTGTCCCTGTCCCTGTCCCTGTGTCCCTGTGTCCCTGTGTCCCTGTCCCTGTCCCTGTCCCTGTCCCTGTCCCTGTCCCCACTCCCTGCAGTCCCCCCCATCCCCGCCAGGGGGCGCCCCTCCCCCTCCCTCGCTCTCCCGCCCTCTCCCGCCGCCAGGGGGCGCGCGCGCCGCGCTCGGCGCAGGGAGAGCAGGCGGGGGGGCCCGGTCCGGGAGCCGCGCGCTGATTGGGCGCGGCGCGGAGGGGGCCGATGGAAGGCGGGCGCTGATTGGGCGCGGCGCGGAGGGGAGCCGATGGAAGGCGGGCGCTGATTGGCCCCGCGCTGTGCCCGCACGGAGAGGGACCCGCGCCGGGGCCGGGCCGGGGCCGGGGCCGGTCCCGCCATGGAGGAGCCGGGCTGCGGGGCGCAGTTCCGCGCCGCCGTGCAGGTGATCCAGGGGCTGCCGCGGAGCGGTGAGTACGGGCCGGGACCGGGGCCGAGCAGCCGCGGCGCCGGCGGCCCCGCTGACCGTGTCCCGCAGGTGCGTACCGGCCCTCCTACGAGGAGATGCTGCGCTTCTACAGCTACTACAAGCAGGCGACGGCGGGGCGCTGCCAGGGCCCGCGGCCCGGCTTCTGGGACCCCATCGGCCGCTACAAGTGGTAAGAGCGGGGGGATCCCGGTTCCGCTCCGGTTCGGGTTCGGTTCGGTTCCCCCAGCCCCGCTGACGGCCGCCGGCCCCGCAGGGACGCCTGGCACAGCCTGGGCACGATGTCCAAGGAGGAGGCGATGGCCGCGTACGTGGCGGAGATGAAGAAGGTGGCCCAGAAGGTAACGGGGAGGCCCGCGGGGCCGGGCCGGGCGCTGCGCGGGGCCCGTGTCCAGCCGCGGCCCTCCGCAGGTCATTGACACCGTGCCCATGGACGAGACCACGGAGGAGATGTTCCGCTACTTCGAGCCGCTCTACGAGGTGATCCACGACATGCCCCGGCCCCCCGAGTCCTTCTTCAAGAGCAAAGGGGGTGAGTGGGGGCCGCATCCGTGCCCTCGGTGTCCCCGGCACCGCCTCCGGGTCCGGTTCGTCCCCAGGGCCCATCCTGGTGCCGCTCCCTGAGGGGACACGGCGTGGACACACCTCATGCCACCGACCCTGGCGGGACACTGCCGCTGCCGAGGGGCTCTTTGGGCACAGCCGTGTCCCTTTGTGTGACACACGTGTGTGAGACACATTCTGGGCTTTCTCTTCGCAAAACTTTGAGGCAAGAATTGGAGATCTGCCCTTGGCCGCAGTCCCTGTGTGTGGTGGGGCAGGGATCAGCTCCTGGCGAGGCTGTGCTTCCCTTGGCGCCGGCTCAGCTGCTGTAAACATCTGGACAGCTCCTGCACGGAGGGGATGTGGAGAAACAGGGCTTGAGAAATGGCATTATTTGGACGGGCTTGTGCTAGAGGAGAATCCTGCCCAGCCCTTTCCGTGCCTCTGGCTGCCACCTCGTGCCGGGAGGGGCTGGGGACCTGTGCCACCCCCAGTGCAGGGCTGTCCTGGTGTGTCTGACTGCTGAGGAGCAGCCGGGAGAGCGAGGGGGTCAGCAAGGCACCGCCAGCAGATCAGCTCAGCAGCGGCTTCTGGGGCTTATTCACCGCGGGTGTGTGACCTGTCAGTGGTTTGGGAGAGCCCTGGCAAACAGATTCAGTCTTGGCCATCTGTCCTGTGCCTGTCACCCCCTGCTCCCAACAGGGCTGCCAGAAGCAGTTTCTGTAAGGCTTGGCCCCAGGGTGGCTGCTCCTTCCCGTGATACCCGGCTGCTTTGTTCTCCATTTTGATGCTGAAACCCTTTAAAAGGCAGACTTAGTTTTTCTCTGAAATTTAAAAGCTGTGTCTAAATTGGTTATTATCCACTTGGGAGTGTCACTTACAGGTGACTGTGGGGTGAAGGAGCCCGAGGTGGCTGCAACTGAGGTGCAAAGCACTGAGCTCTGGAAGGTGTTGAGTCATTTGTGTTAAAGGTTCCCCAGCCCACCTTCAGACACTGCAATCACAGCTTTGGTTGCTCCTAACTGGAGCAGAAAGGGGATTTCAGAGTGTGGAGCGTGGCAGGTGCCTCTGGCCGCTTTGGGCACACAGCTGGGAGTCTGGGCAGCTTTGGTTTTCTTTATTTACAAAGACAAGACATGATAAAGCAGCACTTGGAACCCAAATCATGGATGGTTCCAGGTCCTAACAGGTCTCCAGTGGTTTCACCAGTCTTGTGAATGTGGCTGGCTGGAGCCAGGTGTGTCCTGGTGCTGTGTGAGGGGACAGGACCCTGCCTGCACCCACCACTGACAGCACACCCCGAGGAGGATTTGGGAATGGGGAGGATCCCAGAGCAGGGCAGCCCTGGCACTACCCCTGCGTGGGCTGCAGCTGCCTTGATCCCCTCAGTGGGTCCCCTGTGATGCCACAGGCAGGTTGGGGACAGCAGAGAGGGGCAGGCAAGGAGCAGCAGGGCAGCTGTGTTGGCACACACCTGCCAGAGCAGGGAGCAAAGTCCTGGGGCTGCTGGAAATCTGGCTGGGAGTAACTGTGAGGGCTCCACGGGGAAGGGCTGGGTTACACAGGCTGCTGCTGCCCCACGTCCTTGGGGTGCTGCTGCCCACACAAGGCTCTTCCAGCCAACGCTTCTTGCATTGGGCTCTTTATTACTGTGGGTGTGTCGTGGGCACTGCCAGGGGACAGAACTGTCACTGTCACTCACCACAGTGTCACTGTGTGCCTGCTGCCACAGGGGCTTGGGGACAGGGACACCCCAGCCTCCCCTGGGTGAGTGAGGTGGTCTGCACAGGGTAAAGCCACATGGATTCCTGGGCTGTCAGCAAACCAAGCTGGCTCCTCTCCTTCCCTGCCAGCTGCTGGCACCTCCACAGGCTGCTGGTCCTTGGGTGGTCCCTGCCATCTGCGTGTCCCCCAGCTGTGCTGGCAGGGCACGGGGAGCCAGCACTGCAAGGACAACACGACCGACCCCACAGAATGACCCTGCTCTGCCTCTTCCCTCCGTGCAGAGAGCCAGGGGTGTCCGGATGGGCCCAGCCAGGATGTCCCAGCGAGCAGCCCGGCTCTGGAGAGCCCCAGGGACACCGTGCCTGGGGAGCAGCAGGACGGGCAGCACACGCCAGGTTGGTGTCCCTGGTGCAGAGACCTCATGGAGCGGGCACTGGGGCTGGGGCTCCATCCACCATGGAACTGTTGGCTTCAGGCACCTCTGCTCCAGCCCTGCTGCTGTTCCAGGCACTGCCCACACCACGGGGCTGTTTGTGGGTCCAGCTCTCACTGGGGTAACCCTGGACATGTGAGGTTGGCTCTGCCTCACTCCTGCCTGTGCAAGGGGGCCTGACTCTGCTAAACTGCGGGGACAAGGGGAGGCTGTTCCCATGGACTGGGAAAATACCGCCCTGGAAGGTCCGTGATGCATGAGAGGATGTTCTCCCTCGGCTCAAGCCACGTTTGCTGCTTCCCTGGCACTGGGATTCACAGGGTGCTGCAGGGAGGTTCCTCCTCCCGCTCCAGCCTTCCCCCAGGAGCAAATATGGTCACGGAGCGAGCGCCGGTGTCCCAGCCATGGCAGCCTCGAGTGCTGGGGCTGGCAGCACTCCAGGGAGCTGGGCAGTTTCCCTGCCTGTGCCGCTGCTGCCCCAGGGGCTGTGGGTATCGCACCAATGGGACGTCATGGGTGGCAGAAGGGGAAATCAGTCCTTGGATTCATGGCCATGATCTGGGCCACATTAACAGAGCTGCTCCTGCCCCTGCAGTGCCTCAGTTTCCCTCTGCTGCCTCCCCCTGGGCACACACATCCCTTGTCCCACCTGCTGCCCTCCGGACACAGCCCCTGCCCTGCCTGGGACTCAGCCCTGTGCTTCCCTTCCAGGAGCTGGGCTGGCTCCTGCCCCCGAGGCGCTCGAGGGGAGCCAGGTGACGAGTGACTCAGAGGGGGACACGTTCTGTGACACCCTGCAGCAGATGGAGCCTGAGAAGGTAACGGAGGAAGCGCTGGAGGCTTTGCCATCCCTGCTCTGCCCTCTCTGCACAGCACCACCAGCCTGGGAGCCTCACAGAACCTACAGGGACGCCCTCCTGCACCTCTCTGTGCTTCCTGTCGCTCCTGGAGCCTGGTCCCTATTGCAGAGGGGATCCTGAGGAGCCTCCCCAGCCCCCCATTCCTGTGGTGCAGCTCTGGTGGGGTACTGGGGGCTCTTGGGGCTGGGCACAGCCAGCAGCTCCACATGGGTGCCACCACCTGGATTGTTTCCCCTGCCACTTCTCCCTGCTGCCACAGGCCACAGTTGGCACTCGAGGTGCCGTGGTGAGGCGTGGTGGATCTGGTGGAAGGAGGAAGGAAGACCCCCCCTTTTTTGCCACCTCAAGTCTGGGCACCTCACTCCCCTCAGGTGTTGCCTCCCAAGCCAGGTGCTGGCTGGTGTTATCTCTGGGACTGAGCTTCACCCACACACCCTCCACCCCCAAAAATGCCTCCATGGGACAGAGAAGGATTCCACTGGTGCCCTGCACCCCTCTCACTGCCCTGGGGAGGGGAGCAGGGGTCTCAGGGCCCTTCTCTCCCATCTCATAGGCCGGGCAGGTGCGGGGGCTCACCCCAAACAGGGTCCAGGCTGGGGCTGAGCCCCCAGTGCCCCACAGTGCTGGGCAGGGCCAACGGGATGAAGGCAGAAGAGTCAAGGGGAGCAGCAGCACCGACCTCACAGCCCTGGGCTCCGAGAGAGGTGGGTGCAGAGCTGGTCCCTGCGTGCCTTCCTGCTGCTGCCCCACCTCCCATGGGCTGGCCTGGGGGCATGGGGGTTGCCACCACCCCCAGAGAACCGAGTTTGGCTCCAGCACCTGCTGGTGGCTCATCAGTAGCTGAAGGAAGTCACAAGTGTCCTGTCTCTGCATCCCTTGGTCCCCAAGCAGTTCAATGGCTTTAGTCCTTTAGGGATGCAGCCTTTCCTTTGCCCATTTCTTGCACTGGTACTAAGTTGCTTAAATGTGGAGGATGCTCTGCTGGCTCTTCAGCAGCCAGGCAGGGAATGCAGCCCCTGGCTCCCTGTGCCCAGCTCCTGTCCCTGGTCCAACCACATCAGCGGTGCCTTTGGATGTGGGTGGTGCCAGGGGTGAGCCTGGCCCAGGAGGGCAGAGGGTGAAGCTGGGCCCTGTGCTCTGGAAGCCTTGGGGACAGCAGTGATCACCTGATGCCACCCAGCACTGCTGCTGGTATCTGGGGACCACCAGGCCTCGAGCTGTGCCACAGCAGGGAGGAGCCTCCTGCCCCCTCTGTGCTGTCAGCAGACATTCTGGGCTGCCCTGGGGTGCCATTGCCACCCTCACTGTGGAACTGGAGCCATTGCCTCACCTGGGCACAGCCCACGTGTCTCACCCTTTCCCCTGTTCTGTTCCCTTCTGGGCTGCTTGACCTTGGCACTGAACTTGTCCCGAGGCCGATGGGGCCGGGCTGGGCTCTCCCCAGGGCCTGGCAGCGAGTCCCTGCCTGTGTCCTGCTCACAACCTGGATTATCCAGGCTGGTTTGGGGAGAGCAGGGAGGAGCTGTCCTGGCCCTTTGTGTCCTGCCTGGTGGTGGCACCTTCACCAGGTGTCAAGGTGACCCACACACACCCCAGCAGCCACCCCATTGGTGGGCTGGCCACCCACTGCCACCACCATGGCACTGGAGGGACACAGCAGTGCATGGCCCTGGGGACAACCTGGGTGCTGCTGGGCTGCCAGGCTGGGCTGGGAGCGGCTGTGGCATGGGCAGCCCACGGCAGGAGCCCTGTGGGAGTCACTGCTCACCAGTGGGTGACAGCACGGGGTGGGCAGTGCTCAGCCAGCCCTGGCAGCCGTGTGCCCATCCCTGTGCCCATCCCTGTGCCCATCCCTGTGCCCACAGATGTCTGGCTGGCCGGGGGGGCCCTCGGGCTCACCCCGGGGCTGGCGGCAGAGCTGGAGGCCCATGTAGCCAGCACGGTGCAGGCGCTGCAGGAGGAGCTGTGGCGAGTGCAGGAGCGGCTGAGCCGGCTGGAGACGCTCGGCACTGCCCAGGTACGGGCTGGGGGCAGGGCTGGGCCAGCCGGGCTCAGCTCCGAGCCCTGGGACAGAACTGGCCCAGGTGTGGGGACCCCTGCAGTGGTTGGTGACACGTCCTGGTGGGGCCGAGGCCCTGATCCGGCCCATGGTGCTGGCAGGGAGCTGCTGCCCCTCGCTGCCATTGCCCCCCTCATTCCCATTGCCCTGTTTATTCCCACTGCCCCCCTCATTCCCATTGCCCTGTTTATTCCCACTGCTCCCCTCATTCCCATTGCCCTGTTTATTCCCACTGCCCCCCTCATTCCCATTGCCCTGTTTATTCCCACTGCTCCCCTCATTCCCATTGCCCTGTTTATTCCCACTGCTCCACTCATTCCCATTGCCCTGTTTATTCCCACTGCTCCCCTCATTCCTGCTGCCCTCTCATTCCCGCTGCCTCTGGGGTCCTGCCCAGCTGCACCACCTGGATCCCTCGCAGGAGCCCTGCATGGACTCTCCAGGCCATTTCCTCCCTCTCACAGGGACACAGGGGCTGGAAGGGGGGGTGTCAGCCCCACCTGCACCCCAAAACCTCTCCTGTCTTGTAGGGGGACGCAGCTGGGACAGACCCCGGCCTGCCATTTGTTCCACAGGTGAGTTGATGGTGGAGGAAGCGCTGCAGGGTGGCCCTGCTGTCCCCCTGCCCACCCAACAGCCCACCATGGCCTGGGGACACAGCTGGAGGAGGTCAGGGAAGGGACGTTCAGCTGGGGAGCAGGTGACACCCGTGGGGACACGACCCCAGGGATGGCGGTGTCGATGCACAATCTGCAGAGAAGGGATGTGACCAGGAGCACCGAGCAGTGGTTCCTTTCAGCAGAGAGCTGAGGGGGGTGTTTGGTGACATCGGTGACACCTTTGTCCCCTTCCCCACACCGCCTCTCTCTGTCCTGTCGCCAGGCGATGTCCCCGTGGCGCCTGACCGTGTCCCCACGCACGCTGCTCTTCCTGGCCACCTGGCCCTTCGTCACCCAGTGGCTGCTGCGCCACTGGCAAGGCAGGAAGAGGTGACCACCACGTCCCCGCTGCCACCGCCACCGCTCCTTCCCCAACCCGCTTTGCACGAGCCGGGGAAGCGCCACGGAGCCACGCGGGAATCGCTTCACCAGCCACGGGCTCTGCAGGCCGGGCCCGCCCGGCCGGGGACACCCCCGGGCACCGGCACCGACACTCGGGGCCAGCAGCGGCACCGGGAGCGGGGATGGGCTCGCCCCGGGCGGCCACCCCGGCACTGCCACGCACAGACGGACCAGGAGCAGCTGCGGCCCCGCAGGGACAGCCACGGGCCCGGCCACTGGGGCCACGGGGTGCGGGTACATCACCGAGCCTGCCTCAATTAAAGTTGCCTTTTCGGTTCAGCCCCGCTGCCTGTGCCCTGCGAGGGGAGAGGACCGCGGCCAAACGCTGCGGCCTGGCCACCTGCTCCGGCCCGGCCACTGTCCCCACCCGGTCACCCCTGTCCCCTCCTGGTCACCTCTAGAGGGGCATGGTGGCGAGGCTGCCTGCCATGTCCCCGGTCCGGAACCCATCCCGTCCCCCCGGCCGATCCCGTGCCCACCCCGAGGGTCGCCCCCACGCCAGGGGGTGGCGGTGCCACCCCCGCCCTGTGCCGGAGACAACGGGGGGGAAACCCCCGGGACCCCGCGGGGGAAGGGAGCGGCTGGGGACCCCCGAGACCTCCCTGGCCCGGGATCCAGCAGTGCCATCCCGGGGGTCCCCGGTGCCGGTGTGGGGGCTGGGCAGGGCAGGTTCCCCCCGCTGGTGACACAGCCACAACCCCCCCGTGCCCCGCCCGGCCGTGGGGCTCCGGGACCCCCCTGTCCTGCTCCCCCCTCAGACACGGAGCCCCAGCAGCTCCCCCAGGGCCGCCCCCCGGCCCGTCCATGGCTCCCCCCAGCCGTGGGTCCTATGGCGTGTGTCCCTCAGCGGGGACCCCCAAACCCCTCCGGTCCCCTCAAGGCCGCAGGGCCGCCCCCGAATGTGGGGCCCGAGGGGGACATCGCCACCGTGGGTGGGGGTTGCAGGACCAGCAATGGGATCAGTACCGGGACCGGCACAAGGCCCGGGACCTCCCCATCCCCCTCCTTCTCCTTCCTATTCCCCCTCCCCCCCCGCACCCTCCCAGGCTTCGGGAGAACCGCTCCGCACCGCCCCTGCAAAAAGGGACGCGGCGCCTTTAAGAAAGGACTTCTTTCCGCTTTGGTTTGTTTACATGTCCCTCCGCCAACTGCAGCACCGCCGCAAGCCGCACAGCGCCGAGATCCTTCCGCTCGCCTCCTTCCCCCCGGGCCCGCGCACCCCCGGAGCCCCTCCCGGCCCTCCCAGAGCCCGGCCCGGCCGGGCCCGGCCCTGTACAACTGCCCCCGGTCCCGGGGTCGCAGCACCGCCGGCGGCGCCTCCGCCGCTCGGGGACTCTTTTCGGACCGTGCCACAGCTCCACCGTGGGGGGGGGGCGCGCGCGCTGCCCTCGGCGCGGGCCTGAAGGTCGCGGGGCGCGCGCGGCCCCGCTCACGGGGACTCCCCCGTCGCGTGGTACGGCCCGGTCCCGCCCACGCCCCCTCGCGATTGGTGGAGGCGCGCACGAATGACGCCCATCCAGGCCAATGGGGACCAGTTCCTGCAACGGCCGGGGGCGTGTCCGTGCGGGCGAGCCCGCCCCCCGTGCCCGCCGATTGGCCGCGAGGCGGCACCGCCCGCGCGCGCGGGGCCGTGGCGGCGGCGCGGGGCGCGCGGCGGGGGCGGGTCCCGACGCGCGGAGGGGCGGGGCGCACAGGGCGCCTGCGCGGAGCGGGGCGGGGCGCGCGCGGGTATAAATCGGGCGGCGGCGGCCGAGGAGAGGCAGTCGGGAGCGGGCGGCGGCGGGTGCGGGTTGGGACGTGGGGTGGGATTGCGGCGGGAGCGGCGGCGGCGGCGCGTGCAGTGCGCGCGGGGAGGCGGGCCCGGCGGCGTTAAACCCCCCCCTCCTCCCCCACTCCCCTGGGCCATGTCCCGGGCGGCCTGAGCGGGGCCGGCCCCATGCGGCGCCGGTAGCGCCCGGCAGCGAGCGTAGCCGAGCGCAGCGCTATGGCCGACGCTGCGCCCGCTGAGCCGGGGCCGGAGCCCCAGTGCGAACCGGAGCTTCGCTCCGAGCCCGAGGCGCGGCCGGAGCCGCAGTCTGAGCCCGAGCCGCAGCCCGAGCGCGGAGAGGCGCCGGCGGAGGACGGCGATGCCGGGCGGCTGCCGCCCCCCGGGGCGGAGGCGGCGGCGGGCGGCGCCGAGGGGCGGCCGCCGGCGGGGGGGGGGGGGGGGGGGG